TAGATTGGTTAGGATATGTAAACGTGGTCCGAGGGGTAAAGTTTTGACATTAGGAGAAATAGAAAGAGCAAAGGTTTGTTAGATTCCTATTTTAAAGAAATATAATTTATTTGAATTTATTGGCATCATCATCCATATTTCATGTTTTTCGTTTAACACAGGAAGCACCTTTTAATCCTTCCGTATTTGGTGAGACATTAGATTTTATAATGAAGCTTCAAAGCAACTTCTACCAAAATTTAAAATTACCACGCATTTTACCCTTTCTGGCGAATGCGATTATTGAGTTGAATGGTCAAGCTTCTGAAGGTATATTTCGTGTACCTGGTGATGCCGACTATGTAACTGAATTGGTATATATATATGTATATGTATATGGACATTTTATTACTTTTTTTTCACCAATTTGATTAATTGATTATTGTTATTAATATAGAAACTAAGAATAGAAAAAAATCGGTTCGATATAAGTGGGATAACAGATGCGAATGTTCCGGCTTCACTGTTCAAATTTTGGTTACGAGATTTAGCTGATCCACTAATACCGAGTGATTTTTATAATCCATGTATACAAAATTGTGAAAATAAAGATTCGGCAATTGTACTTATTAAAAATTTGCCTGAAATTAACAGAAGAGTTGTTTTGTTTGTGATTGATTTTTTGCAGGTTTGCATTTTTTTTTTTTCTAGAAATATTTTTCTTTAATACTTTGTATTTACTATGTTTCAATCCTTTTCATATTTCTGTATTTAGGTATTCACAAAACCCCACATAACGAAAATAACAAAAATGAATGTAAATAATTTAGCAATGGTATTTGCACCAAATTTCTTAAGATGTCCATCAGATAATCTCGCAGTTATATTCGAGAACACTAAATACGAGCAAATGTATGTTAGGACATTGTTATTAAATCTAAACAGTAGAGATATTGAATCTGATCTAGAGTATATAAGTGTTGATGTATAGTCTATTATGGCCTATATGGTCTAAATGATCTATTATGTATATATATAATAGTTCAGAATAGGTATGTGTTATACGTCTTTGTTATTCAAAGAAAGCTTAAACATTCGTAAATATTTACAAGAATTCTTATTCTTAATTTCAGCATATTAAAATTATATTTAATTTGATTTTTTATTTTTAAAAAAATATATAAACATATCGATTGGTGGATATAATTTAAAAAAAAATAAAAGAAAAAAATAAAATAAAAAAATAAAAAAAAAAAATAAAATAAAACAAAAAAATAAACAAATAACAAATAAA